ATCTATCTATCTATCTATCTATCTATCTATCTATCTATCTATCCATCCATCCATCCATCCATCTATCTATCTATCTATCTATCTGTGTCTGTCTATCTGTCTGTCCGTCCGTCCGTCCATCCATCCATCCATCCATCCATCTATCTATCTATCTATCTATCTATCTATCTATCTATCTATCTATCTATCTATCACCAACCCAGTAGGGCAATCTGTGAAAATGTAAGGGTCCTATCTGGTCCCTCAAGAGATAATCAACCTGAAATAAATAATGTGTTCCTTTAAAAAAATAAAATTAAATGTAATATTCTGCATGTATACAATACTTAGGTGCTGCCTAAAAACTAGGACAGAGACTCAAATCCTTCCTATTATAAACCCTAAAGGTCGAACAATTTCAGACCATTCTAATCTGACCAAAATGGCCACCGTGCTTAAACCAAATAAAATAAAATAATTAAAACAAAATACTGCAGTGGTTTTGTAACAACACAGAGGTAATCACTCAGCAAATCAATCAGTCAATCAACGGTCCAGCAACCAATGCTGGACCATTTGATATAAACCCACAGAAAACCGATTAACCCACAGAAAAAGAAAAAAACCTATGGATGTCATTTTTCGATTTTCTGATACAGTTTAGTTCACTTGTTTGGCTATAGCTCAAAATGTATTTATTTGTTATACTGATGTGCTTTATGGCCAAATGAAACAATGGTTTAATCAGAATCAAGACTTTCAGAGTGCTGTATTATAAGGAATAACAATGATCAAATAAAATAAAACATTATGCCACTACATACAATTTCCGAGATAAAGGTCATTTGCATGCTCTGTTTGTTTCTTTGTTAATACAGTTATATTGAGCCAAAAACATTAGTTCTCATGCAGGACTTGAAGGGGAGGAGCAGACAGAAGCCTCTTATCCAGGTAATCTCCTGATTCATCTGCCGGTTCATCAGCCATCACTGAGCACTTCCACATCCACCGAACAGTGCAGCGTAAGTATCAGCAACATATGTAACATGTATGGTCCTAGCATTTAGAAATAAACATGTTCAGCATTTAGCAAAAGTCAATTAACTGTTCCTCTCCTTTGCAGATCATGCTGCTCTCTCCTGCAGCTGAGCGCAGTCAGGACGGTTTGCTGTCGGTGCTCTGGGAGCTACTGGAGGACCAGTCTCACCGTGAGCTGTTTGGTCTTGAGTTGGGATCAGGCACAGGGCAGCATGTGGTGCACTTCGCTCAAGAAATGCCCTTTGTCACGTGGCAGCCATCAGACATCAAGGAGGAAGCACGAAACAGGTATGGCACACAGGTTCTTTTCTTTGATACTAATTACAAATGGCATTATGAGACATATATCACAGAATTATCAGGGTTTGTAATGTTAACGTCTCTGCTGCAGTATCAGAGCTTATATAGGGGCCACTAAAGCAAAAACAGTGCTGGAGCCGGTGTATCTGGATACCAGTCAACCCTGGGAGAAATGGGCAGGACTTCCACGAAGCTCCTGTGACATTATTATGGCAATCAACCTGCTTCAGTACAGCCCCTTCAGCACTGCAGAGGTATGGCACCAATAAATATGTGATATTGACTTACGACTTTTTTATACACACACACACACACACATATATATCAGACTATCAAAAAAGACTTGCACTATGAAAAATAAGTAACTATAGAACTAGTATACGAAATGTTTGGGGTCGTTAAGATTTTTTTTAATGCTCTTTCTTTTATGTTCACCAAAGCTGCATTTATTTGATGGGAAATTCATTTGAATTATTTTATACATATATATAAAAATTTAAAATTGCAAGATTTTATAAATATATTTTAAAATTTAATTTATTCCTGTAATCAAAGCTGAATTTTCAGCATCATTACTCCAGTCTTCAGTGTCACATGATCAGTCAGAAATCATTCTAATATGCTGATTTGATGCTCAAGAAACATTTCTTATTAATATCAATGTTGAAAACAATTGTGCTGCTTCATATTTTTGTGGAAACTTTTATGAATAGAAGAACAGCATTTGTGTCAAATTTTAATAAATGTACTGTCATTTTTGATCAAGTAAGTGCATTAAGTGCATCTAAAAATATGAATTTCTCTCAAAAACCAAATTTGAACTAATGTCTGTATTCAAATCCAGTTCAAAAATGCATTAATGTAGTCTTGTATCCACAGGGTGTGTTTAAAGGATCTGGGCAGATACTGAAACAGAATGGCCTTTTAATGACTTATGGAGTGAGTTTGACTATTGTATCATTTTCATATGTTGTTTTATATGTTTTAGATAAACAACTAGTCATAACCACATTAACCATAAATCTCACTATAAACATCATAACCTCGTGGAATGAAATGTGTCTCAGCCGTATGCTATCAATGGAACCATCACCCCAATCTGCAATGAACAGTTGGACCAGACATTACGCCAGATGTGGGTTTTCAAACTGACACTTTTTTTTTATTTCAAGAATCAATATATTGATATTTATTAAAGGGGTCATATGATGTTGCTAAAAATAACATTATTTTGTGTATTCGGTGTAATGAAATGTGTTTATGCGGTTTAAGGTTAAAAAAACACATTATTTTCCACATACTGTACATTATTGTTTCTCCTCTATGCCCCGCCTTTCTGAAACGTCGATTTTTACAAAGCTCATCGGTCTGAAAAGCAAGGTGTACTGTGATTGGCCAGCTATCCAGTGCGTTATGATTGGCCGAATACCTCAAGCATGTGACGGAAATGTTACGCCCCTCACCATATTGTGATGATGCCCTGTCAGGCCGGAGCGA